AACAAGAGCGAAACTCCGTCTCAAAAAAAAAAAAAAAAAAATCAAATATAATCTGGACTATTACACTCAGTGCAATTTGTCCCACTATTGGTCGTGTTGACCATTTAAAATATTCTGAGGATGCTCTTTTAGATCTCATGATTTACCACATTTCCTCTGTGTTTCATTTTTTAAAATAAGAGTATGTAGTAAGTTAAACAACAATTTTCTCTCCTTCTATGTCTTTTTAAATGATATGAATACATTTCTGATCTTTCTATTTGTTTGGCAACTTTACTTTTATTCTATTCAAATTTATTTTAACCATTTTCATTCTATTTGCATCTCATTTTTTTCCTTAACAAGTTACTATGATATTTTGTTCTTTCAAAAAACATCAACCATCTTGGTAAGATCTTAGGGGGAGTTGACATACCTGAGCTACTCTTCTCTTTTTTTCCTTCATATTGTCTTTTTTTTTTTTAACTTACAGATTTCAGTTATTTTTTGAAAAAATAGAGATGGGTCTTGCTATGTTGCCCATGCTGGTCTTGAGCTCTGGGCTTCAAGTGTTCCTCCCACCTTCAGCTTGCCCAAGTGCTGGGATTACAGGAGTGAGTCACCGTTCCTGGCCCTCCTTTATAATGTCTTTAGTGAATTTCATTGTAGTCTTTCTTATAAGCAATGTTAACTTACATATCAGGCATTTTCCAGGCTTTCACAGTGAAACCATAAAAAATAGATTTTATGTTCATTCTCTTGTCACCACCGTGGAAGAAATGCTTTTCACCTTCTGCCATGAGTCTGAGGCCTCCCAAGCCAAGTGGAACTACATGTGCATTGCCATTGCAATTTCTCTTCTCATGATTCTGATGTGTGCTATGGCTACTTAAGGAGTATACAAACAACACGCAGCCTGGATTATCCCATTCTTCTGTTACCAGATCTTTGATTTTGCCCCGAACACCTTGGTTGTGATCACTGTGCTTGTTTATCCAAACTCCATTCAGGAATACATACAACAACTGCCTCCTAATTTTCCCTACAGAGATGATGTCATATCAGTGAATACTACCTGTTTGGTCCTTATTCTTCTGTTTATTAGCATTGTTTTGACTTTTAAGGGTTACTTGATTAGCTGTGTTTGGAACTACTACCTATACATCAATGGCAGGAACTCCTCTGATGTCCTGGTTTACTTTACCAGCAATGACAATACAGTGCTGCTACCCCTGTATGGTGATGCCACTGTGAATGGTGCTGCCAAGGAGCCGTCGCCACCTTACGTGTCTGCCTAAGCGGAGCTGAGGGCAGCAGCTTTACTTTTTTGACATCTGAGCAATAGTTCTGTTATTTCACTTTGCGATGAGCTCTCTGAGCTTGTTTGTTGCTGAAATGCTACTTTTAAGAATTTAGATGTTAGGTTGAAACCTGTACTTTTCAGCATATGCTTTACTCTAGACCACTGTGATAGATGAGCTGTAGAATTCTTTCTGTAGTATTCGGGGTGTAATGGACTTCACTAACCTTCCCTAGGCACTGAAACTTCCCCCAAATCTGATGGACCCAGAATCTGAGAAGTTCGCTTTTGTACCTGCTGGGCTTCAAAGTTAGGCAGTTAGTCATACTTTTTCTCTCTACTTCCTCTACTTTGAAAGTGTAAAATAAAACCAAAAGTAGACAACTTTTTCTCAAGCCATTCCAGTGTAGAGAGCAAACCTTATGAAAACAGGAATGTCAATTGTGTAATTATTGTTCTAATTAGGTAAATAGAAGTCCTTATATATGTATTACAAGAATTTGCCCCATAGTATCCCTTATGACTTAAGTTCAATGACAGTTTGCACTTGGTGGTAAGGGATTTTTCTCCATGGCCTAAATTAAGACCATTAGAAAGCGCTAGGCTGTGGGAGCAGTTAACCATCTGATGACTGTCTCATGCATCCGGGTCCAGGGACATGGGTGACTTGCCTCTTCTGTGTTAGAGGGTGGGGTGGGTGTGTTTGGCACTGTGTGGGATCTGCTTCTCCTCTCCTGGATTCACATCCCTACCCAGGGCCCGCTTTCACTAAGTATTCTGCCTTAGCCTGGTTCAAGGAGGTCATCCAGCTGACTTTATCAAGCAGAATTGGAATATATTTGATATACATTTGCCTGACAACATGGAAAACGGTTTTCCTCCTCCTTTCCCTCCAAGGTGCATTCTACCGCTTTGAACTTCCAAGTATACCTAGTGACCTTTTAAAATGTAAATGTTTTCAGAAAAATGAAGGTTGCTTTCCTTGTATGTGCTTTGACTATTACTTGACTACCTGAACTGCAAGGCATTTTTATATATTCATACGTTCCAAAGTCAGCAACTCTCCTGTTGGTTCATTATTGAATGTGCTATAAATGAAGTCTTTTTTTTTTTTTT